GTTCTATCTGTACCTATCCTCAGTGGCCTCTGCTTTCTAACATGCTAACATCCCACTGCAATCAGATACTTTGCTCTTTCCCAGTTGAGAGAAACCTCTTGGTCAGCACACTTGGGGGGTGTTTGTAATAGGCCTCATCCCCATGTCTCTCAGCCACCCCTCCCATCAAGGTTCTTGCCTTTTCTTTCTTTCTTTTTTTTTTTTTTAAGGTTCTTGCCTTTTCTCCTGTTGTGTTAGTCGCTGCGTTGTGTCTGACTCTTTGCGACCCTGTGGACTGTAGCCTGCCAGGCTCTTCTGTCCATGAGGTTCTCTAGGCAAGAATACTGGAGTGGGTTGCCATTCCCTTCAGAGGATCCACCTTTTCTTTACCTCCCTCAGTAACAATATATTTTCTTATTTCTCTTTGTCTGTCTAGTTGTATCCGTGTTTCTCAAGGATCCATTTTTAGCTTTTTTCCTACTCTTCTTATTTTACTTGGCAATCCCATCCATTCCTGGTGACTTCAGCCCAGTGATTTCCGAGGACCTCCTCTCCAGTGCTGCCTGTTGCCTCCACTGGTAACTGACCATTTCTACTTAGGTGTCCTAGTGTGGACACCTCAGACTCCCTGTATCCACAGTGAAGCTTCTCTCTTCCCAAGCCAGTTTCTGTGCCTCTGGCATTCTGCTGTACCACCTGTGTATCAGCACCTTGCACATGGCAGTCACTCTGCGAATAGGACCCCGAGGAATGAATGAATGCTTCCAGTTGCCCAAGCTGGAATTCTGAAACTCACTTTTGACTTGATCTTCCCTGTGACTGACCACATCCAGTTCTCTGCCAGTGCTTGTCAGTTCTCCATCTGATATATCTTCTTGTATTCCTTTCTTCATTCCCACTGCCATTATCTGGATGTTACAAAAGACTACTTGCTGGTCTTTATGGCTCCATGCCTTTTCCTTGTTAATCTTTTATATTTGCTGCTACTAGAGCAGTCTTGATTCTCAGGCCTAATGATGATGATTTTACTCATTCTGGGTTGTTTTTTTTTTCCCTGCCTGGAATGCTATGTTCACCTTCTCCATTTTCATCTAAATCCAGTTCTAATGGCTTATTTCTCATTGGGTTTCCTGTCATTTATCTCCCCCTCATGTTGTCCAGTTGCTCTTATGGCACTTATCACTTTTGCTTCATGTCATAGTCACTCTGTTTTATGTTTTGTCTCCACTATTAGCTTATTGACTGCAACATCACTGTAATTTTTTTCTGTCCCTGTGCCTTGTACGGTGCATGCTTTCAAATATTTTCCTTTATTAAATTTCTCTTCACAAAGTATTTGTTTGATAAGTGAATTTAACTGTTATTCATAGACCATTAACCACAGATTTTTATATATGTGGCTTTTTAGTGTGTGCTATTTTCATTTCTACATGGTTCAATAGTTCACTATACTAATGCACTATTTATATACACCATATATATATATATATAGAGAGAGAGAGAGAGAGAAACTGTTGAAAATGTTTATGATCCAAGGGGGGTTTTTTGGAGACAATTTGTAAGACTGGTTTAAGATACTTCAAGCTTAACTATTTTATTGAATCTAAGACCTGTTTTTCACATATTGAAATATTCAATATAGAGTTTTTATTTGGTTTTTTAATCTCCTTATAAATTGGTGGTATTTTAGAATCAGGGAAATGTGGTAAATACAATAAATAATGACTTTTGATTAAATGGCCTTTTGGAACAATACCCACAACTTGGATTTTTGATTATGTTCTTAGAGGATAGGCTCAGGTCGCTGTAGTTTCTGTTATTTTAATTTCTTACTTTATTTCTGCTTAAAAGCTTTTAAAATGAGATAAAAAGGGATATGGGTTTTGTTTTGTTACTCGAGGGAGGACCAGGGGAAACTATTATGTTTGAATTAGGAGAATTTTTTAAAGTAGTGTGTGAATATAGAGTTAAAAGCAGTTTTAGGATTCTTAAAGTATAATATTATTCATATAAAAACCTTCTTAAGGGATATATGGGACTTCCCTGGTGGCTTAGATGGTAAAGCGTCTGCCTACAATGCAGGAGACCCCAGGTTCAATCCCTGGGTTGGGAAGATCTCCTGGAGAAGGAAATGGCAACCCACTCCAGTATTCTTGCCTGGAAAATCCCACGGACTGAGGAACCTGATAGGCTATAGTCCACGCGGTCCCAAAGAGTCTGACATGACTGAACGACTTCACTTTCACTTTCAAGGGATATATGCATATGCAGTAGAAATATGATAATGTACAGTAGAGTCATAAACCCTAAATCAAGATGATGGTTGCCTTTGGAGGCAAGGAGTAGGGGGTGGGCAGGGGATAGAATGAGGGAGAAATGCAGTGGTTTTCTACCCTATTTGTGACTGTTTACTTTCTGTGCCCAGGGCCAGGTGCATGGGGGGGGTGGGTGCTTTGTTACATTGTTCTCTTTGTCTGCTTATCTGAAATACTTCAGCGAATTCAAACAGGATAGTTCCCCCCCACCCTTAAGTCCCTCCTCTCTAGTTTCCCTGGCAGAAAGGAAAGGGGTTTCTTTGAACTTCTCCAGACATGTGTACAGAAACAAGAATATATTTATGCATAAATTCTTACCCCACCTTTAAAAATAACGACTCTACCACTTTTTCATAAATAGTAGTCTTCTCTACACAATTTTACATTTTGCTCTTTTTTTACTTAGTATGTGTTGGAGATTATTCCATATTAGTACATTAAATATGTGGTTTTAACAAAAATAGCTTTAACCTTTTATCAGTAATAATTGCTTTAATTTTTTACCAGTTTTAAATGTTTATTTTGCTGTGTCACATTTGCTTAAGTAGCAGGAATCTGGGTTTCTCCCTGGTTCTTCTTTCCAGGTATTCCTCTGAGACTTCCCAGGGTGCTTGCTGACTGTTCCCTCTGCTCCTTGAGTTGGTGGGTGGTGTCTTTTTCTGGGAGGTGGAGAGGAGGACCCTGGGGGACTGGAGTCCAGTGCCCAGGTTTGAATCCCCAGCTCTGCATCTCAGTAGCAGCGTGATCCTGGATCAGTTAACTCTCTGTGCTGATTGTTTCCTCACCTGTAAAATGGATTGATTATTTCCTTTCTCATAGAATTGTATTGAAAAGTAAATGAGTGAAAAATTCCTGACACACAGGAAACATTATAAACAGTTGATGATTTTTATTACCCATCACTAAGCATTTTGCATCCCAAGCTACTGCCAGTCTCGACAGCTAACCCTCCACTCTCATCACTGACCTCCTTAAGATTTTGATCTGTCTGGTTAGTGAGAAAGCTTCATTCTTTTTTTAGGACCTGCTGTTTTAGAGGAGGTTCTCCCAGACCCTAGTGATGCCGTTTATACCACAGCTGCCTTCTCTTTGAAGCACTAGGGCTCTCTGCATAGTTGAGGTGGAGAAGGTGGATGGAGGGGATGGCACAGCCTCCCGCTTTCAGGGCACCCTCAGATGTTCTTGCTGCTCTGCTCACACTAGGCTTCTCCACCAGAATGCTTTTGCATGTTCTTCAGGAGGCATGATTCCCCCCTCTCCCCCCGCCCCCCAGACCAGTGGTCCCATCCAGCATTCTACTTCTTCGGGAACCTCCATGCTTGTATGTGTCTGAGTCCAGTTAAGATCAGGGCTTAGGTTCTTCCCACTGGGCTCCAAGCCCCATGTGGCGTGACATCTATTTTAAGGGCCTCTGTGACTGATAAGTTTCCCAAACTTTATATGATAGGCGACCAGTGTCTCCTGAGTACGCGGAGGACCCCTAAGGAGCAGGGACAGCTCTTGCCTAGCCAGGACACCCCGTCATGTTCCTAACATTTATAGTTGACATTTGAACAGTAGTTTCCATTGCAAGGTGCTTTTCATGTAACTTACCTCATCTGGCCCTGGGGAAAGGATCAGTACCTTGTTCCCATTTTTGCCAGTGAGGAAACTGAGGACTAGAAACATTGTGGTCACATAGATAAAAAAGGACAGACTTCCTCTTTCACATCTTTGGCACCCACCGCAAGTCACTTTCTTACCAAGATTTTAAAAAGGCCATGTATTAACATTTTCAGTAGGGTTGATATCAATTATCATAATGGGGTATTTAATGTTAGCTAAGTTTAGGGTTAGATTAACAGTATTGAAAACTATTGAGTAATTTCATTTAGATTTAGGTCTCCTGGTCCTCTGTAGGTTTGTGTGAACTATAGCCAATTTGGTAAATTAAAAAAATATATATATATTTTGTCCTTTTTCTCAGAGCCACAATGGACACAGCTAGCCATAGCCTTGTCCTTCTGCAGCAGCTGAACATGCAGCGAGAATTTGGTTTTCTGTGTGATTGCACCGTTGCTATTGGAGACGTCTACTTCAAAGCCCACAGAGCAGTGCTTGCTGCTTTTTCTAACTATTTCAAGATGATATTTATTCACCAAACAAGGTAAGGAGGTGCTTTTGTAAATCAGAAGAATTTTTAATACCGTGATATAGCTAAGCTTTATTATAACATCATTTTGGGTATTCTTTTTTTATGGGATCACCTTAGTAAATAATAAAAAAATTATCATTTTTTTACACATCTGTAATTAAGCTCTGTATAGAATACATGGTGGAAGATAAGAATGAAAACAATAATAAGTAAAGTTTATTTTTTTGTTTAATCCCATAACCAACCACTAAGCATGTATCTAATGTAAATTCTCCCGTTATCCATACTTTATTAGGGAAAAAGAAACTGATTGAGTTAAGTAACTTGTCCATCTAGGATTACATGCACAGCTAATAAGTGAAACTCAAATGCAAATCTGTGCTCTTAGTCACTAAGTTGTTGATTTCTTTCCTTAACATTTTCATAGCAAGATTTCAATGTCATAACTCCACCCACCTGGTGGGGGTGGCGGGGGAGCCCCGCCCATGGGCGGGGCAGTCGGTTCCACCCTTCTTTCCTCTGCGGGCTCCGCCTCTCCGCGGGCTCCGCCTCTCCGCGGGCAGCGGTGTCCTCAGCCCCGGTTTCTGGCCGCGCCGCTGAATCCGACCCTGGGTCGAGTGGCGCCGTCCCCACGGAGAGTGGGCTGATAGTCCGTATTGTAATTCAAAGGTCATTTGTTTCGAATATTTTTTCCAAAAAATTTTTTTAATTTAGGTTAACTCAACATGGATAGGGAGAGGGGTGTAAAAGGGTATCCAGATTCTGAGTTCTTGGTAAAGAATAGCTTTAATGCATCTTCGGTTAAAAGTGATGGAACACTATGCTTTTTTAGAAGACCTTACTTTTGGCATTTCTTTGGCAGTCCAGTGGTTAAGACTGTATACTTCCCCTGCAGGTTCGATCTCTGGTCAGGGAACTAAGATCACAGGCCAGGTGGCTTGGCCAAAAATAGAAAAAAAGACATTTATAGTCTAAGAGAAAGGTAATGCGTGTAAGGAAAATAATTGCAGTGTAATTGATCTCTTTGCGCCTCAGTTTCCTTCTCTGTAAAACACTAGAATAGTATATTCACTCCATGGTTTTGAGACGATTAAATGGATTAATCAATAATTAAAGTGTTTGCAACAGAGCTTTGCACTGTTAGCTGCTGCTATTAATAATTTCTGTGATGTCTATAGTCGAAGTGTTGCACAAAGTAGACTGGAGTGTCAGCAGACTTATTTTGAGAGGGTTAGAAAGGTTTTACAGAGACTCTGAATCTTAAAGGATCAGGAGGAGTTTTTCAGATGTTACAGAGGAATGCCAATAATTGCAATTATAGGTGGAGGAAATAAGTGCACGAAAACATATGCAGATATGAACCAGGCTAGCACATTCAAAAAATGGAGTAAATCAGAATGATTGGCATATATGATAAAAAGGGGAGAGGAGATGAGAGTCCAGGACAGGTCATGGGTAGCCTTTTCCATCACACACAAAGTTTCCTCTCCAACTTAAGTGTCAATGTAGAAACTAGATTAGTAACGCTACCTTCACATCAGCCTCATTTGAGAGCAGTTAGTTGGTTTAGCTCTTAAAGCATCTGTTTTGTACCAGGCACCATGCTAGGCTAAATTCAGGAGATGCATAGGTAACAGGCCTGCTCTGTGATATTTCTGCTGAGTAACTAAAATTCCTCATTTAAAAGACCTCTGTGCTGATACTAAAAAAAAAACAACCCTGCCACAGACCATGGCAGTGAGTGGGTCAGAGGTAAGAGTGAAACCCAAGAGGGAATCCTAAAATATCAGGACTAAAGAAATGGATTGCTGGCATACAGACTGCTTTCTGATGTGTTGAGGCAAACTTTCGCTTCAGGGAAGGTATGTCCATCGACTGATTCCATTGTTCCTTGTTATCTAGCCTCTCCCTTAGGTTCTCTTTATCTTAATTTTAACAGTGTTTCCTGATTTCTTGTTACACAATTATTTCCATCTATCTTCTGAATTCTAGATTCATATGTGAAAAATTGGGCTTGAGACTAATTTAAAGCTTTTCAAAATCACACTTGTATTCATTTGTGATCTAAAGAGTAGATATATTAATATACTTGGAAGCCAAAATAAGGTGAGTATGATTTAAATTCTATATGGTACCAATTCCAATAAGCCCTTTGAAATTTTTAAATTATTTTTTATTGTGGCAAAATATATATAAACATAAAGTTTACCATTTTAACCATTAATTGTACAGTTTAAGGGCATGAATCATATCGACAGTGTTGTGTAACTATCACCATTACCTATTTCTAAAACTTTTCATCACCCCAGAAAGAAACTGTAACCATTACATAATAACCCCCCATCCTCTCCACTCACAAGTTCCCAGTAACCTCTAATCTTATTTTCTGTCTCTGAATTTTCCAAATCTAGATGTTTCTTACAAGTGGCATCATATAAAATTTGTCCTGTTGTGTCTGGCTTATTTCATTTAGCATGTTTTCAGGATTCATCCATGTTGTAGTATATATCAGAACCTGATTGCTTTTTATGGCTGAGTAATGTTCCACTGTATGTATATATTGCATTTTGTTTCTCCATTCATCTATTGATGGATAGTTGGGTGGTTTTCTGCTTTTGGTTAATGTAAAATGCCATTGGTTTGTGGATTTCCGTTTGACTCCTTGAATTCAGTTCTTTTGGTTATATTCCCAATAGACTGTTAAGTTCCTTAAGGGCAGGGTATCTGTTTTATTCATTTTTCTACCCCCTGCATGCAGTTTAAGTGCATATCACTTAGGAGTCACTAAATGTTGAACTAATCAGAATATCTGTGTTTCTTAACTTTAGGCAGTAGATTGAATACATGAAGACTTGGTGCTGGGCCATAAAACTGGTATACAATGAAAATCTGAGCTTTTGTTACTGTGTTTCATCAAGGCAGATTGTTAAATTAGAAGTTAGGAAGAAACTGCTTTAGCCTAAGACTGTATGCTGTTAACTAAAAAGGCCAACTGGGTTGTTTCATTCTGTGTGGGTCTGTTTTTTTGTTTTTAACAGTGAATGCATAAAAATACAGCCAACTGACATCCAGCCTGACATATTCAGCTATTTGTTGCACATTATGTACACGGGGAAAGGGCCAAAACAGATTGTGGACCATAGTCGTTTGGAGGAAGGGATTCGATTTCTTCACGCCGACTACCTTTCTCACATTGCAACTGAAATGAATCAAGTGTTCTCACCAGAGACTGTGCAGTCCTCAAATTTATATGGCATTCAGATCTCAACGACCCAAAAAACAGCTGTCAAACCAGGGCTGGAGGTCAAGGAAGCTCCTTCCAATAACAGTGGAAACAGAGCTGCTGTCCAGGGTGACCACCCCCAGTTGCAGCTCTCTCTTGCTATTGGGCTGGATGATGGCACTGCAGACCAGCAGAGGGCCCATCCTGCCTCCCAGGCCTTGGAGGAGCACCAGAAGCCCCCAGTGTCCATCAAGCAGGAGAGATGTGACCCAGAATCTGTGATCTCCCAGAGCCGCCCCTCACCTTCATCAGAGGTGACAGGCCCCACTTTCACCGAAAGCGGTATCAAAATACACTTATGCCATTACTGTGGGGAACGTTTTGATTCCCGTAGTAATCTAAGACAACATCTCCACACCCACGTGTCTGGATCCCTCCCATTTGGTGTCCCTGCTTCCATTCTGGAGAGTAATGACCTTGGTGAAGTGCATCCACTTAATGAAAATAGCGAGGCTCTTGAATGCCGTGGGCTCAGCTCCTTTATTGTCAAGGAGAATGAGCAGCAGCCCGACCTCTCAAACCGGGGTGCCACAGAGCCTTTGCAGATCAGTCAAGTGTCTTTGATCTCCAAAGACACCGAGCCAGTAGAATTAAACTGTAATTTTTCTTTTTCAAGGAAAAGAAAAATCAGCTGTACCATCTGTGGTCATAAGTTTCTCCGAAAGAGCCAATTGCTGGAGCACATGTACACACACAAAGGTAAATCTTACAGGTATAACCGGTGCCAAAGGTTTGGTAATGCATTAGCCCAGAGATTTCCGCCATATTGTGACAGCTGGTCTGACATCCCCCTGAAAAGTTCTCGTTTGTCGCAAGAACAGTTAGATTCATCTTGTGCCTTAGAGTCAGAACTCACACAAGAAAATGTGGACACGATCCTGGTTGAGTAGCAGTTTCTCCTTCAGAATTTTTATGTCAATTCTGAAAAAGGAATTCCACATGTGTTTTTTTATTCATAAATTATTTTCCTCCTCAAGTTCTTTACCATTTGTCCATAGTTCTAAGGTTGTATATACTACATCTTTTTATTGTAAAGACCTATCAATATATTGCTGCCAAAATGTAACCTTCCACTGGGGCTGTCTTTTCCTCAGCTAAATCACAATTTAGAAATGAGAAATCAATGTGGAAGTATGGAAATTTTTTCAGGTTGTAGAATCTGTAAAGGCAAATTGAATATGAAATAAGTGTAATCTTTTTTAAAGAATGTTCTAAACTATCACTTTTGGTTAATGTTCCACATGAATCAAGCCCCTGTGAGGATTATTTTAAAATATTTTCTGCCATATAGGAAATTAATAGTTATATTAGTATATAAATATATGTTATAATGTATAAAACATTTGTTTGAGGGCATAACTATACCAAATCATGAGTAGTTTTAAATTAGTGTTTATTTGCTAGTTGGGCAACATCTTGCATGCATGTGTGTGCATGCTCAGTCACTCAGACAGATACTGGGGTGTGATTCTTTGTGACCCCACAAAGTGTCTGACAGTGACCCCATGGACTGTAGCCTGCCAGGCTCCTCTGTCCATTGGATTATCCAGGCAAGAAAACTGAAGTGGGTTGCCATTATGTGACTTTATTTTATTTAACATTGAGCATACCTCATTTTCAATAAAAAATATTTTATTTAAAGAGAGAGAAAGAGAAGAGTCAGAAACACACAAAAAGTTAAGAGAGTCAGTAAGATACATATACATAGGTAAGCATAGATGCCTCCAGTGTTAGAGACAGCAGTTCAGACACATCTGTGTGGACTGATACCCTGGTGGTGGTACCTTAATCTAGTGTTTTCTTAAAGAACTTAAGAGCAGTTTGAGATTTTTATGACAAGAGGTTTATATGAGCTTAAGAGGAAAATGATAGAATACAAATTATCTTTCTATCCATAGTATCAGAAGATTTTATAGGCTGCTTGAGTTGACATTAATTTTCTAACAAAAACCTGAAAAGGTACTTTTTCAGGTACTTTTTCAGTGGCAGTTTTCACTTTTTTTCTGGTACATAAAACCAGCAGAGTAGATATAGTCATTGTACTAGAACTATGTTTAAAAATCATGACCAGCCTTCCCTCTGTGAGTCAACTTAACTCCCCTTTCTAATAGTGAAACTTAAGAAGCTAAAACTCCAGAAAAATTAAAATTGATGGACCGAATGGCAGATTCTCCTGCTGTGTGTATCTGGGAAAAAGCTGGTCAAACTTCACCATAGAGGATAGATCTAAATTGTTTCTGATACGTTTAAATTTTAAATACTAGATAGTCAAGAATAACCAAAGAGAGAGGCTTTAGAACACCCTCGTCTTTTTTGTATGTTGCCCTGTTAAATTCTAACTCTCACAAGTATTTTAGTAAATGTAATAAATTTGGTTTCTACAACTTAGAATTTAACTGCATACAAAAACTCTGATCTCCATGATGACTACACACTTGACAGTTCCTGACATCAGAGCTCCTTAAGTATCTGAGTTTAGTCAGGAGGGAGCGCAGAGAGAAATCCATCTCATTTTAAGGGTGCAAGGATTTCTCTGAGTTATCAGTGAGTTTAGGTAGATTATGACATGGTAAGTTTTTCTTAAGAAGTGGATGAAGAAAACCAATGGGCATTATCTAAGGTGGTTGAACTTCTGTCCTAGACAAGGATGTGAAGCCTCGTGGGGTCAGGATTAACATGCTAAGAGCAAAATCTAAGTAGCTATTGATACAAAGTCAGTTGTATCAGTCAGTAGTTAAAACAAATGTATTGCTCTTTAGTATCAGAACTTCATCTAATCATATTCTTAAATCATTTCAGCAATTATTCAAACTTACACTGTCCTCAGTGACTTCATCACATAAGGTGAACACAAATATTAACATTGATTTCATGTACCTTAGGCTATTCTGGATATATTCCCTAGCCTCCTTCAAGTAAAATTTTATTTTTTCTTGTTTAGATAAAAATTTTCTTGATTTTTCTGTTCTGTTTTCTTTCCTACTTGCTCAGTCATTAGTCCTTGACCCAAAAAGTGTATGTAGCTTAAAGGGTGGGATTTGGTGTGCATATGAGTTGTGTGTAGGACAGCAGTTCAAGGCAGAGTCTGGATGAGGCAGGAGTTTGCTTTTGGCTGACTGTCCATAATAGACAATGTTAACTTAAAGCAGACATTTATCTACTTTGTTGAGTGTTAAGAAAGGAGTGATTAATTGTATTTTTATTCTTATTCATAAGGTTCCTTTTAATATTAGGAATTCAAAGCAAGTGTTCTTTCCTTCATCTTCATAGTATTCTGTCTGTATTAGGAAGTGTGAAAATGAATACTCCATTTTATAGGAAAAAATCCCCAAATCTGGGTTCCAGAGAGCCAGTGAGTAATGGTGTGGGGAATGATTCCAGTTTTATCTTTTTCATTTGTTCAACAGGAATATTTTAAAAATTATTTTATAACTAATATTGTGCCCTGAGTATTTTTAAAGACATGATTCCTAAGAAAATCTACCTTGTATAAAAAAGTTCCTCCAGCTAAAGGCTTTAATTTTGACTACATCATTTATAAAATGGAGCTGTTATGTTAGCCATATAGTATGGTCTGCATAATGATTGTCAAACTCTTAAAACTGGAAATGCTGTGTGCACCTTAGTGTATCAGGCAAGTACTAAACAGACATTTCCCCTTTGGATCAGCTTAGAATTTTCCCTTTTTTCTAGATACCGCATATAGTTGTTTTCTGGAGGAAAACAGACTGTTGCAGTATTTGTTCTTGTTAGCGTATTGTTAAACTCGGTATCTGATAATTGTAGTCTGCCTTATAAGAAAACCAACATTTCTGGATTTATCTCTTGAAATTATTATTTTTCTCTGAATTATTATTCACTTTCCCATCTGTAAAGTATGTGAAAGCAATCCCTACCTCACAGGGGTGTTGTGAGGATTTGTTTTAAAATTGTGGTAAGTTATATCAGCATTATTGATAAAAACCAACCATATAGGGACTTCTCCAGTGGTCCAGTGGTTAAGACTTCACTTCCCAACGCAGGGGGTTCTGGTTCAGTCCTTGGTCAGGGAGTTAAGATCCCACATACCTCATGGGTCAGGAAACCAGAACATAAAAACAGAAGCGAAGCTGTATTGTAACGAATTCAATAAAGATTTAAAAAAAAAAACAACCATATAAAGAAAACTACATTCTGCATTTTTTATGTAGCTAAACCTTTAACTTTAATATTCCAACTCATAAATTCTAGAATGTCTTCAGAGGCAGTCATGTGCTACTTAATACTCAATAATTGGCAAAATTTTTACTTTTTACAAATATTCTAGAAACAGCAGAGTTGCTAGAATTCCTATTCTACCTTAGTTTAATCATAAGTATTTCTCTTTAGCCTTTAACAAGAAAGATAGTAATTCTTTGGCATTATTGGGAATGAAAACTTTCCAAGTTCAATGTTATTGAAAGTTCCCCCAAACATTGTTTACATATAGGAAAAGGAACAAAAGCAGTGGAGAAAATACCATTTTCATTTCTTTGATGTAGATCATCTACAAAGTAGATAGAGACAAGAAATAGAGTAGGGTTAATAATATAGTAATTTATTATGTTCTATCAAAATAGTATTGGAAAAGGCTTCACTTAAAACTGAAGGAAATACTTATTAACATGGAAAAAGATAGTCTGGAAAATGTATAATTCCATTGATGTTTATTTGCACAGGTGAATTCTTGATGTTGTAACTCAAATCCTTGACAAGTATCCATTTTTTGTCTAACTGAGGTAAAAAATAGGCCATGTGAAGAAATTTCATAAGGTAACTTGTATCTTTGTATGTTTTAAACTAAATGTAGCTCTGTGGTATTTTATTATAATTAATTTTTAAATTCCTAAGAATGAAATCTGTAAATTATTATTCTTTGCTGTACTTGTGTATTTGTATGCTTGAACTTTCTGAAGACTGGTGAGATTATACAGTCCTTAGCCTGTCTGTCTTAAATGTAAGGAGTTACAAACTGTGATTTTTGTCTTCAAGACCTGCAGGACCCTTTGTGCTTCAGCGTGTATCTGTCCACACTTGATTACTTAGTAGATATTGTTCCAGTGCAATTGATGGACTGTCATCAACTCTTCTGTTTTGTGCCAAATAGTCATCTAGTCAGATTAAATCAAATATCAACTTAAAATGCTTTCAAAGAAACTTGGATTTCAAAAACTTAAACCAAAAAAAAGGAAAAGGGAAATTTCCTGGTTATCCAGTAGTTAGGACTCCGCTTTCACTGCTGAGGGCCTGGGCTTGATCCCTGGCTGGGGAAACTAAGATCCCACAGGCTATGTGGCACAGGCAAAAAAACCCCAAAAACAAACAAAAAAACCCCCAAAACCTGTACAATGAAAAAGGCCCCCTGAAGAAATCTTCAAAGTACTACTAACACATAGTAACATATAATACAAGAGACTGAAATCAATAATATATTGTATGCTTAAACTCTTCCACCTAACGTACTGTGAGTTTGCTTCAGAAATATTCTTTCAGAAAGTTTTGTATTCTCCATTTGGAATGAAAACAGTGAATTTCATGTATTTTATCATGACAAATTAATGTGGCTTGATCATAAACAAAACTTTTTATTAGCTCAGCTTATAGAATGTGTTCTTATTTTACAGCAGTGTCTGCCAAATGTTGTCTTCCTAGTGTTGAGGTAAGTAGTCTCTATCAGGTAACATTTTGGATGTGTGATGCAAAAATGCATCAGTGGGTCCAGTTCTTATCAACCATAATCTGTGTTAATAGAAAAGTGGTGCCCTCATCAAGTGCTTCCCAGCTGCCATCTCTGGAAAGAAAGGTAGTATCTAGTACTTTCCTGGAAGTTTCTTGCTTTGCTCCTTTCTCTCTTCCCTTTTTACTATCCCTCCAGTAGCGGAATCTGCAACAGCGATTCTTAGCCAGGTTCTCCAGAGAAACAGAACCACACTGTGTGTGTATGTGTCTGTGTTTGTGAGAGAGGGAGAAAGGGAGAGAAAGAGACTGATTGACTGATTGATTATAAAGAATTGGCTTATGCAAATATGGAGGCCAAGTCCCACAATCTGCAGGTGGCAAGCTGGAGACCCAGGGGAGCGGGTGAGGTAGTTCCAGTCCAGACTTTGCAGCTTGAGACTCATAAAGGCAGGAAAAGACCACTGTCCCAGCTTAGTAGGCAGAAGCTCCATTATTCTTAGGAGGATCAGCCTTTTTGTTCAATTCAGGCCTTCAGTTGATTGTACGAGGGCTACTTACTTAAGAGAGGAAGTCTTCCCTCAAGTCTACTGAGTCAAACGTTAACTCATTCAGAAACAGGGACACGCCCATAATAATGGTCGACCACATTTCTGGGTTCCCTGTGGCCCTGTCAGGTTGACACACACATTTAATGATCTCACTGGCTGGTCCCCCTCACCACGGTGGCCTTCAGCAGTGTGGAGGTGCTTGTCACAGCTGGGTGGGGCTCGGAGAAGCTTGCTGCTGGTGTCTAGTGGGTAGGTAAATCAGGGGTGCTCTGAACAGCCTACAGCACAGAGTGTAGCCCCCACAACAAAGAATCATCCAGCCAAAATGTCAGTGATGCCAAGAATTAAATTTCTATTTGTGTTAACTTTATCCCATCTTTTCAAAGATAAAAATGTGATTATTAAAAATTATAGATGTATTAAGCAACAGGACAGCCTTAAAATCTACTCATATAATCTTTGAACTAAACAATTATGTCCCTAATAAGTTCTCTGTGAAATTAAAATGTGATCATGTTGTAATTTGTATAAATATTTAATTTGGCCAAAAGGTGGCACCACTGTACCTTTTAAAAGTCTTTCACATAGCTTTGACTAGGCTGATAAAGGTCTGTCTAGTCAAAGCTATGGTTTTTCCAGTAGTCATGTATGGATGTCAGAGTTGGACTATAAAGAAAGCCGAGTGCCAAAGAATTGATGCTTTTGAACTGTGGTGTTGGAGAAGACTCTTGAGAGTCCCTTGGACAGCAGGGAGATCCAACCAGTCCATCCTAAAGGAAATCAGCCCTGAATATTCATTGGGAGGACTGATGCTGAAGCTGAAACTCCAATACTTTGGCCACCTGATAGAAGAGCTGACTCATTGGAAAAGACCCTGATATTGGGAAAGGCAGGAGGAGAAGAGGACGACAGAGGATGAGATGGTTGAACGGCATTGCTGACTCAATGGACATGAGTTTCAGCAAACTCCAGGAAATGGTGAAGGACAGGGAAGCCTGGCGTGCTGCATTCCATGGGGTCGCAGAGTCGGACATGACTGAGCCACTGAACTGACTGAACTGAACTTTATGCTCAAATTTGGCATCACTATTTGTTTAATTCACATTTATTTAGTACTTAGCTTCTTTGGGATTTTGTCTCACTTTATAGAGTTAGGATTAATGAGAAGCTTCCTAGCATTCCATAATACATTAGGTACTGAAATATATTCACATCCCGCTTTGATCAAGATGCTCCCAATTTACTTGTATAGCAGCAGATAACTTGAAAATATCATTTAGTATGCTTCTTATATCAAGAACTTCTGAGGATTCTTGTAAGTTTTTAACATTAAGTGAAAGTGTTAGTCACTCAGTCGTGTATGACTGTTTGCGATCCCATGGACTGTAGCCTACCAGGCTCCTCTGTCCATAGAATCCTCTAGGCAAGAAGACAGGAGTGGGTTGCCATTTCCTTCTCCAGGGGGTCTTCCCAACCCAGGGATCGAACCTGGGTCTCCTGCATAGCAAGCAGATTCTTTACCATTAAGGCTTAGGCATTTTAGTCTCAATCACATTTGTTCCTCTAATCAGGCATCAAACTCAGTTTTTAGTGTTCTGCTGGGTTAGTAGATAAATCCAGGGACATATGAATAAATACTCCCTAGTTTCTTAACTTTTGTTTCTTTCCTTCATATGCACAGCCAGTGAGGTTAGCCTGTATATTATTTTCTGGAACTTTTTCTTTCAACTGTGATTTAACAACTGACTTTTTAAGTTGGTGTTCTTTTTCCATCTTCCTTCGCTTCCTTCCAGCCAGTTTCATTCTCTGAGTAGGCTGAGACATTCTCTCATAGAGTTCCTGTGCCTTCCAATGCTGAGTGAATGCAGGCTACCCTTTCCTCTCCACCATTTCTGCTTGCAGTAGTACTATGAATATTATCCTCGGGCTTTGTGCCTCATCACTAAATACTTCTCTTAAATTTATTTTACAACCGATTAACCAGCTTGGACAATAAACCTGCTTCCTCCCAGATAAATTCTCTTCTGGTGTTTATATAATGTTGAAACTTTTCTGTTGAAACAACTTAGTGATATTGTATCAAAATAATGACAATAAAAGATCTTCCCTTTAAGCTGCATCCTTGGTGTCCTTTCACGTCAGGAGTCTGAAGGAATAGCAGTGCTGTAGGAGGGCTGCTCTGTACCGCTGGTCCTTGCTCCCTCGGGAAGTGGAGGAGAGGAGTGTGCAAGAAGGAGGCCTTCATCATCTGAAGTCACCTGTTGTATGGCCCATGTTATTACTCAGTTTCGAAAAGGTTAATGTTAGATTCTTGTGGACCAATCAGGCCCTTGAAGAATGAGATCTTATGCATTTAGCTCTGCCACATTTTTCTGTAAGGGAAGCCATATGGTACTTAGTCCAAACCATATGTAGGTAAGTATCTAATTTTTAAAAAAATAGTTTTTTTTGATAACTGGCATTTGTACCAAGTGCCTTGTAGGGAGGAAAATCTAAAGAACCTATGGTGTGGTTCTTTAGGAAAAGGATGCAACATTTTCAGAGAGAAGAGAAAAGGTTTTGAAATGCAGACCAAAGGTTCCAGTGGAGTGCATCTCAAAAAGATTTTTTTACTGGACCAGTTCTCATTTCCCACATTGCCCTTCATTTACATATGTGCACAGTCCATGCTGTGAGCTCAGTGGTACCTGTCCTCTATCACAGCATTTTAAAATTTGGGAGGAAAGGCATATAAATGGAGAACTTTTAAAAATGTTGAACGTCTCCTGTTTCACTGTTAACATAACCACAGTTTTTCAGATTTCTCCAGTTGGTGGTGAGCTTCAGACCCACCATGTAGAGCCATGCAAATTATGCACAATAACACTAGGGGGCACCACTCACCAAATGCATGCTTCTGGCTTTAGGCTTGCAGTTTGCACAGCTGTGCAGGGCAACCCTGTCTTCCCTTGAAAGTGAAAGTGAAGTCACTCAGTCGTGTCCGACTCTCTGCGACCCCGTGGACTGTAGCCCACCGGGCTCCGTGGGTTGCCAGTTCCTTCTCCAGGGGATCTTCCCGACCCAGGGATCGAACCCAGGTCTCCCACATTGTGGGCAGACAATTTAACCTCTGAGGCACCTCTCTTTCCTTATCCTGGTTTAAATGTTGAATTTAAGAAGCCCTTATTTTGAATCTCTGCAGCAAGTGGCAGTTTTCACTTGTGTATCCTGGAAATTATAAACTAAAATACACAGGTGGTATAAAGAACAATGAAGAAAAAATGAATACTCCCTAGGTGACTCAACCATGTATGTTTGTTAAAGTTTGTAGAACTTTCACTAAACAGGGTGGATTTTACTGTATGTAAGTTACACCGTAATGAAGAAAAGATTAAGACCACCCAGATAAATATAGAAAAGTCTTACTAAAGTTTAATGAGCCATAATGATTATCATTCACTATTAATCCTCCCATGGGTCAGAAAAAACAAAAACACAAAAAACCACCACCATCTAGACATTAAGAGTACAGAGAAAAAAAGAGGAAAAAAAAAAGATTACAGAGGAAAAACTCATGAAACTAAAAAGGTAATTCTGAAATTCACTCTGAAATCAGACAAATTACTGATGAGGCTGTGGCACATCTGGATTAAAGATTAAAAACTCAGGTTGAGTTTTTCACCTGAATTGAATTATGAGTGACCAGTCACTTTGGCATTTGGTGCATCTCAGCTTTACACAGAGGTCAAGGACAATTCCAACTAGTCATTCTGATCAGGGAGATACAAACAGTTTCAGCTGACCTGTTTAAAGGAGAGGTGACACTCATGTTTTTATACTACAAATGGTTTTTCCACGTGGAACCTCTGCATTGTAATTTATATATGAAGATATCTGATTGACTTGAGCATACATGCTGGTAGCTGCATTAGTCATGACTGTGACTGATCACAGATGTGGTCCAGAGGCCCACTTGTCACTGTACTGACCAGACCTTCCTGTGACCTACAGATACAGTATGGATTTGGGATTCAAAGGTTTGAGTACAAGTATACAAATGACTGCACCTGCTTTTGTCACTCCTAGGAGGAAGAAATGGCTATCCACTCCAGTATTCTTCCCAGGAAAATGCTATGGATAGAAGAACCTGGTAGGCTATAGTCCATGGAGTTGCCAAGAATGGGACATGACTGAGCGTGCACAAACATCTCCTGGGAGTACAAAATTGGAAGACCTATTTTTTTGGCCACAGTTATAGCTGAGAAAAATATAGGAAAGGTTTAATTCCTGCCCCTTGCACTGTCATAAAGGTCAAGATAGAGTTTCCCAGGTGATGCTAGAGGTAAAGAACCCTCCTACCAATGCAGGAGATGTAAGAGACATGGGTTCAATCCTTGGGTTGGGAAGATCCCCTGGAGGAGGACTCAGCAACCCACTCCAGTATTCTTGCCTAGAGAATCCCCATGGACAGAGGAGCCTGGCAGGCTACAGTCCATAGGGTTGCAAAGAGTTGGACATGAGTCCATGCTAAGAGTGACTTAGCATGCATGCGAAGATCAAGATAAGGCCAAAAGTCCTATTTGAGTCTAGCCATGAAACAAATTGTGAAGAAAGAGCATCTGGTCTTGTAAAATGCAGAAACTGCTAGACACTGCTACCATTGCTATTATGATAAGTTAGAGACAGTTTTAAGTTTAGGAGTTTTCCACCCTAGGAGGCATCCTCCCCTCACCTAGGTTTTTCTTAACTGTTTGTGGTATCTGTGTCCAGCTTTGCTGAGGATTTTCTGTGAATGTATAGTGTGCTCATGTACAGGTACATATTTACTCACTCTTTTTCCTAAGTTCAGAAACTTAGCCTTCAATGATCTCAAGCTTCGGGGAAAAAAAGAAAGGTATGTACCTCACAAAGTGATTGGGGGCTCCAGACTTAGCATAAAGGGCAGAATCGCCTGTGAGGACAGGTGTTGGAAAAGGTTATGTACTTTTCTCTTAAATTAGAAAGATGTGACTTAATAAAAAATTTTAATTCCACAAAGTGTGAAATATTAACTACCCTATGTACAGTGTACATTAACAAGACATTTTACTTCAGAACAAAGTTTAGTTTTAGGACTTTTAAGATGTTATCAACTTTAAATTGATCCCAAGGTTTGGAAAGCACATTCTTTTCTAGAGCCTAATCATTGTCATTGGTCTGTGCTTCAGAAAAACAGGGTTGTCAATGTTTAGGGAAGAAAACTGGTGTCTTAGTAAACACAGAACTTTGGAAACATCCAGCTTTAGCAGGCACCATCTGAAAAAGCATTTTTTGCATTAAGGTTGCTTAGTTATTTGGTAACCATATAGATTAACAATGTGTCAGTTAATACAGAGAAAACAACTTGAGAACAGCAAGAGATGATGAAAACACTTCTGTCAGGTTCATAGATGGCATCAAAATCAGAATTGCCCTTTAGGTGGAATTATTTCAGTGAAATTGAATTCAAGTTCAAGGTGTTTTCTTTCTCTTTCCTGGAGGTGGGCTCTTTTAGGCATGTCATCATAAAATCTGGCCAACACTCAGCAGAGGAAAACTTTTGGTGGTGCTAACTCAGTTTCAATCTGTGATCTTTATGGTTTTAGGAAATTCATGTACTATACCATGTTTCTCTTAAAAGACCTGGGTAGATAAACATGAACCAATATAACATTTATTTTATATTAATATTCAGTACATATATTCAGATTAAAACTTTTTTTTACAGAGTATTATTTCTTTATATTTGCATCCGATCCACAGTAATATAGTACTAATTTTAATGAGAAATACAAATTAGAACTTTTGCTTTCATAATAGCTCATCCAATTAACATTTTTACAAAGAACTACTATAAATATGTAACATTATGCAGGCTTTTTTTCTGCACCTGTTCACAAATCAGAAGGAATATACTTTGAAACTAATTTGAAACCAAATGCTATCAAGCTGCCCCTGCATTTATCTGACCAGCTGCCCCTGTATTTATATGACCATCTCCCCACACCTGACAAAATGAATTCCTCCCTCTCTCGTCTCCCCGCAGAGCTGCGTCCCTGTGGCTCTTTCTTAACCCCCGGCCCAGTTTCAGTTGCCACTGTTTCCCAGCCTGGGCTTTTCAAGACAGAGAGAGCCTGTCCCCTTTATCAGTGTTTGGGATGTGTCATACCCAAAACATTGAATAAATTGAATTCAACCTAAATTCAAGTAGTTGCTTTCTGTTAAATTTTTTGTAACTAAGGATTACAAAAAAATCTTTTCAAAAATGTACCATAAAATGTACTATATACTGAAAATTTGAATTCTGTATAATAAGAAACTATAAGTTACACAATAAAACATCACAGGAATTTGAACCTAAAGAACTCTAAACCTTAAATAAAGATCTTTAAAATTGCAGAAAGGGCAGGCAGAGAAGTCCACCCCTAATGTATTGAGTATCAGGTGAAATTAAAAAGCAGACTTCACACATCTGAATAAAGTTGACATTAAAAGGATCTCTTCAAACAATGGGATTCAAAAACCTAACAATTATGTTAAAAATTCTGCTGTAAACTGTCCCCCCCTCAAATTAATTTTTAACTATAAAAAAATAAGGCAACTTGAAGTTAGAAACTTATGGATGAAGTTAACTCTGGATTTTTTGCAGAAGCCAGATTGGACTGGTACCCTCACAATCTGTATTTCTAAAAGCCTTTAGCAGGAAGGTGAGTCACACATACTGGTGAAATAACATATTCTCTCAGAAATACATCAATCGAGTGTCTAAGACTTCACTAAATAGTAGACCAATTAAGATCACAAACTTCATGCTGTCAAATAGATTATCTTCAAAGAAAATTATGCAGACAGTTTTTCTGAAGAACTCCATCTGTGCCACATGCTTATTGTTCTTTGAGGTGGAGGAGGTGGCAGGGAACCTGATTTCTAGTTGAATGTTCTTTTGTTTCCTGCTGCCTTTACTTAAATGTTACCAGGGACTATTTTTATCCTCTATAAAGTACTTTGAGAAAATGTTAAGTGGCTAGTGCTCCACAAAATAGAGGAGGATTTTCTTATTCTTGTTGTAAAGCAAACTGAATAACACGACTCTCAAAAGGGGGAATATAATGTGCTGAAAAATCATCTGATAAACCAGCTAGCCTTGTAAAATTCTGAGCTCAAGAGGAACTGAATCCTAGCTAATTGATGAATTTTCATTAAAAGCAGCATTCATACCACAGCAAATTTAAAGGAAAACTAATGTGGTGTTATTAAATTGCCTTTTAAGTGATATTTTAATATTGTTAAGTGGATGTGAATTGAATAAGAACTTATTTACATTCATTTGATGTCTTACATATGAGGTCAAATTGCTTGAAATAAAAAATGTTTTATGAGAGACTCCTAAGTCATCTGATTCTTGATTATTTCTATAAGAGCAAAACAATTTAGATCATCTTAGAATTCACAGTAATAGAATTTGGCCATGTAGCAGAAATAATCAGATTGAGACCAGTGCATTTCTGGATTTCTTTTTCAAACTGCAATCCTACTTACTTAATTCACCAGATATTCTCAATAGAAAAGACTGAGAAGAAACCATTTAAGAATGAATGCAAATAGAGTATACATTTCATCACAAAAAACACTCAATTATAATACATTCTAACCAAATATGTACCACACCACAAAGGGAAAAAAAAACATTAGAAACCTAGGACTACTTAGTCTTAAAAAATATTCATTACACATATTTATCTCACGTGTTTTTAAAACTCCCAAATAAATATACCTAAACATTTTGAAAATATTTTCAATAACTGGTAAGTGCTATACTTTTTGCTCATGAGAAATTACTAAAAATTTACAATCAAGTATATTGGCTTGAGCCATCCTTTCAATAAATGAAGGCAGGATTCTTCAAAACTCTGTAAAACGCACCAACTTTAGTCAGTTTTTTAAAAAATTGCTCACTTTTAAATATGTAGTTGCTGGTAGCTATCCAAGTCCGTTAGCACCACATATAGTGAATTAAAAAGTATTTTTAGGGAGGATGACTTAGTCTTTTGTTTAAGAATTATATAATTAAAAGAAATTGATTTCTTGGGTCATGTTTTGAAAGATCCACTTTTCATCTTGCTAAATTGAAGGATTGGTAGTTTCCTTCCTTGCACTCCCCTCCCCGCAAGGTTATAAGCATGAAGGGAGGAAAATCTGGGGGAAATACTTTTACATTTCAACAAAGAATCTTACTAATAATATCCATTATCTGGTTCAGTTACAAAGTCACGTTCTTCTGCCAGAGGTCTCAATATACACTTAAAGGAAGAAGCAAGATTCTAAGGGACAAATTAGCACATACTTTCTGTATGCAATCCATAAATAATGCAGGAAGTCACCAGATCGTTTGAAATCATCTAACATACATTCTTTTCTTTAAGAACATACGAATACCTTTAACAAGTACCTTACAACTCAAGCGAAAGTTCTTTGCTATTTCATCTACTTACAGAATGACACTGTCACTCAATAGGGGACTGTACAATGTGAACCCTGACCTGTGAGGTAGGGAAGTGTATTGCAGTCTTATGGCCATTTCACACAAGGAAAGGTTGAAACAATTACTTTTTCAAAACATATGGCAATCACTGAGATCAATGATTTAAATAACTAAATAAAACACTAGCCCTTCTTGTTATATTAAGTTCATTTTTGTGTGTAAGGGATTAGCTGGACTAGAAGTACTGATGAAAAAGTATATTTTCAATATCCATGTAAAATGTTTACTGGTGTCTCTTAACACATAGGCACAATGAAAGAATACTAGCATTTAAAATATAATGTACTTTAGTAGTAACTTTTCACTTTCTATTCAGCTATGTATTTGGCTTATTCTTGAACAAGAATGAATAATATTTTCATTAAATTATTGTGATTTCCTAATAAATCACAATCCAACCAGTCCATCCTAGAGGAAATCAGTCCTGAATATTCATTGGAAGGACTGATGTTGAAGCTGAAACTCCAATACTTTGGCCACCTGATGCGAAGAGCTGACTTATCGGAAAAGACCCTGATGCTGGGAAAGATTGAGGGCAGGAGGAGAAGGAGATGACAGAGGATGAGGTGGTTGGATGCATCACCGACTCAATGGACATGAGTTTGAGTAAGCTCTAGGAGCTGGTGATGGACAGGGAGGCCTGGAGTGCTGCAGTCCATGGGGTCACAAAGAGTCGGACACGACTGAGCGACCGAACTGAACTGATTGTGATTTTCTAGGACTTTTACTGCCAGGTTGGCTTTGAATCCACTCTCCCCTCTTTGAGGAGAGATTGATGAATACAGTCTCCAGAGATTTAATCTTGCAAGATGAATCCTGTGTTACCTGTGATCACTTGTTACTTGGGAAGTTTGTCTTCTTCTGGATGGAAAATAATATTCCACTGTTTGTTTTTGTTGTTGCCTTTTTTTTTTTTTTTTTTTTTAAGGTTTTCAGTAGGTGATCTTGCACAAGTGGATTTACACAGGTCCATCTGGGGTAGAAGAAAGATGGAGACGGAAAATGCACTCCCTGTTTCCACACCTTTGCACTTGGTAATTATTTGCCTGTTTGAAGTAATTTGTGAATGGCTTTTGTAAGGAACTTGAGCAAGACTAGAAAACCACTCATGTTTAAGCAAACTATATATATATATATATATACATATATATATATATATATTTGTTTGCAGTATTGTTTTCAGGTAAGGCTACTGCCTAGGAGTGTGCAGTAGTCTTACTACTATAAATCACACATTCACAAAAACAATTCACCATATTCATCATTTCAAATAACATAAAACTGCACTGTAAAAAAAAAAGTTGTTGAAAACAGAATGCGATGTTAACCTATACACAGTGTTGAACTATCAAAAGGAAACCAGGCTTTGTGACATCAGAGGACATGAAAGAGCTTATGGCATACTGCACGTACTCATTAAATGTATCTTCTCCCAAGCAATCTAATCTCCAGAAACCATTTTAGCAACTCCCCTGATGTCACTTTTCATTGCAATTTGTACTGACTTCCTCCAATCCAGAAGTGGCTGCATTTCAGTGGTAGGGAGGGTTTTATAATTTGATTAATTCTTTAGCACTTCTGGGTTGGAATTGTGTTGGGTTAAATTCCACAGATGCTAAATCTCTCATTTGTTACTGAAAAGAGAAACGCCACAAATATGTAAAATAATTAACCATTAAGCTTTTGTTTTTCCCTCCCATGATCTAGAAATTGTCACTGTAGACGATTGTTTATTGTATTATCATCAGAGGCCATTTCATTAACAAGCTGTTCTATAGACAACTGGATAGCATTCTTGACAAGAGAAGAAGCTGTTTCTATTAAGAGTGTTTCATATTGTTCTGAAGTTCTACCCTCAAAACCACTGTCATTAGCAAAAACCCCTACTTGCTCATTTTCATTTGAAATTAAGAATGGCTTAGGGACATTTTTAGATTTCTTAACATCAAATTCACTGATTTCAGTGTCTGTGATAATAATAGCAATTGGCTCCATTCTTTTGCTTTCTTCTGGTTTGGGTTTTTCTGCAGTGATCTCATTTTCTTGAAAATCTGATTCCTGGCTCAATTCAGTATCTTTTGGCTTACTCTCCTCAACAACAATCTCTCTACTTTCATGCTCCTTCCAATCTGGTCCACTTTCTAGGACACCATTTCTGGCTTCTTCCAGAATTTGTCGATCTGGAACTGCAGGCGAAGGAGGAACCTCAGAACCCACTGGGAGCTCCTGTTCTGTGTCTAAAGCTTCCAAGGGGCTCACTTGCTGAGGTTGAATGCTTTGTTTTTCCTCAAGCATTTCAGTATCTTTTTCAAGGATTAGAGTTCCTGTTTGAATAGCAGAATGACCCATATCTAACTCAAGTTCTACTGAAATCACTTTCTCTCCAGGAGAAGTTATGCTGTTATTCACATTTGATTCACAGACCTCATCATCCCCTTTCTGTGAGACATCTTCCCTTACATCCTGGGGCGACTTGCTCTCTGTTGCCTGGTCATCTGATTGGGTCAGAGTTTTTGTAACCAGATTTTCAGCCTCTTGGACTTTGACACTGCGGTCTGAGTCTTCTAAGATTTTGGAGTGATTACTTCTTTTCTCTCCTTTTGAGAATTTTATGCAGGGAATCTTGAGTCTGGATTTTGCTTTTTTCTTAGAAGGATTAGCATCCTCAGCATTGATTTCAGATTGCAGTTTAGCCTCAAAGGGCTTTTGCTGCTTTGAAGACTCTGACCTTTTCCTGCGTGTTACAAGGTGTTTGATTGAGGCCCAGGCCCCCCTGGGGTGCTGTGGCTGATCAGAAGCTCCTGCTTCTGGGGGACACTTCCTTGCTGCATCAGCAGCTTTAGAGCTGGCTTCGGGCTTCTTTGCTTTGGCTGCTTTTTTTCTTCTCTTGAAGCAGAGCATCGATGCTTTTTCCTCCTGCCTCTCATCCTGAGGTCTAACTTCTGCTGATCTTGTCTCATCCTTACTTTCTACTTGTATTTCAGAAACTGTGATCTCCATTTTCACATTACACTCTTTCTTCCTCTAGAAAACTGTATCGTCTCTTCCTTAGCAGTCTATTGTGACAAAAAAGGTGGGCAAAAATATCACACTGAGTAAAATTTCTTCCAGATGTAATCATTCCTTTCGTCTTACTCCATACAGTCATTTTAGGTGGTTTCTCCAGTTATACAAATGCCTACATTCTCTATTACTTGTAATTTCGCTAATTTCTTCATGAAAGCCCTTTTACTGGATAGATTTTTGTTTTATTTAAGGAGCAACCTGATAAGAGAAAAGAGGGATATTTTATTTCACCATCAGTCTATTGTTTTCTATAGAGACTATTTTAGTTGAATGCATATGATTCTACCTGGCATATTTCCCATATAGTATTTCACTGAAATGACTGGAGAATAAAAATTGGGGTTTATTTTTGCCCTATCCAAAAGACTTCAGTGTGAATTTATTTTACTCCCTTTTCTTTGTTAAAACTTCATTTTGGATTACTCTGCAGATCTGTTATTATTTTATCAATTCTGGAGTTGTGCTGTTTCTATGAATTGTTTATGTAATTCTCTGAATTGCAAATTAACAAACAAAAATCACCACCGCCACCAAAAACAACAGAAAACAATGAAGAGCAGGGTGATATGCAAGTTAATGTAATTTTTTATTACATGCAATAAAGAGTTCTGAAGTTGCAAAGATCTTAGAGATAATTTGAGATTTATTCAAGTCGAGCCAGGTGAAAAAACTGAACTCCAGCGTGGGTAGCTGGCCTGCTGAAGGTCTCACAGTTAGATGAAGTCAGAGCCAGAGTTAGAACTGAAGACTTTGACTCTCTAATGTTCTTCCCAGTATACCATAAGGTTTCTGTTCTAAAAATGTATGTTCCATGAAGGAGGTGCTACTTTTCATACATGCTTGTGGGAAATTTAACATTACTGTCATTCTCTACTTGTAAATTTGTTTGTATAATTTTAACATTTTTTTCTAAGTATCTGCTGTTCAAACATTTTCTATAATGAGCACATAGTTGAAGGTCAGAGTGAATGATAATAATAGTTGACATTTATTGAGCAACTCCTATGTATTAGGAAGTGCTAAGCACTTTTATATACATCTCTAATCCTCCCACAACATTACAGAGGAGGTGGTGCAATCACCATCTACAGATGAAGAAATTGAGGCCTAGATAGGTTAAGTAACTTGCTCTAGATTATACAACTAGTTGATAACAGAGCTCAGATTCAACCCAAGATTGCCTGTTTTCAAAGCTTCTCCTCTGAAACTGGGCTTTAAGAGTTTCATCAGAAAAATGAATTGTTTGGAGATACTAATCTGCACTAGACTCACTCGTCAAAAAATTTAGTAACTGCTTAATGGTCATGTAACCATAATGTAACCCATCAACTCATAACTGAACCAAGACTCAGGATGAGTTCTTGCTATTTTAAAATCAAGCTTTTGAAATTCTTTGTATTTTATTATCTTGGCTCTGGAACTAATTTGAAAGCCAAACATAAGATGATAAGATATGCAATTGGCAAACTAATTAGTGACATAAATATAAAGGTATATTTTAAAATCAATCCAGAGTGGTATGAGGGTACCAATGAACAGAGATGTGAGGTGGTCACCTAACAAAAATCCTATGAATTTTAGATGGATGTCCTTAAATAAACAAAGGGACTCTTTCTTTGTACTGTTTTTTGTTTGTTTTTTTAATGTAAATCCTTCACTGTTGAAGGTTTATTTGGGTAGCCCCTGATTCCATGAACTACAGAAGGAACTGGAACTCTGAAAATCAGTTCATCATCTAAGTAAATATCCCCTTAGGTTGAGTCTTACATACTCCATTCCTCTGACAGAAAGACAAAGTCATCCTAGAACAATGATGAAACTAAAATATGAACATTTTTACAATGTCCCTCCTCATATGCTTCCATAACACAAGCACCACAGCTGATTATAGCTCTTTAAGTCTCCTCCCTTCTTGTGAGTTCTCAGCCCTGGGAGTTTTTATTAACCAGAGGATGTAGAGCCAATAGAAATATTGAAATTAGACCATGTTTAGAAACGTATCATTTGAAATTATCCTAGATTGCCCAAAGACAACTGCTTGAGAAGCTCACTTGAATGTATATCAGATGAAGAAATACAACAAATATCCAAATAAAACCTAACTGAAATGGGGATGGTGCAGGGCAGCGACACTAAAACTTCGCATAACACTAAGCTGCAAATGATTCGTCCTTAACCTGCGCAGAGAGTTTTATCGCCTCGGCAATCTTAAAGTCCCTGTTCTAATTTCCTGATAGAACCGCAAGTTTACTGCCACAGAAAATACCCGTCCCCATATTCCCGCGAGCAGAGAAGCACGGAGGCAAAGAGCAGTCACTCTCTCGGGAAAGTAGTGAATCTCTCCCATCTCCCGGCGCGGACCGCGAAGCTTCCTCCTGGAGGAAGGCGTCTCTCCGGCTTGATGTGCGTTTGGCAGGAGCTAGAGCGCAGGAGAAAGTACTCAAAAAGGAAAATGCTGGGGCGTGGAACAGGTAACCCAGCTTCAAGTTCTCTGCACAATGATAATGGCCAGGAACCCCACACCATATTTCCCCCCAAAAGGGCAAGGAATGAAAAAAAAGCTATCAGCAACACCGGCTCCTAGGAGGAGATGTAACACGATGAGGTGGGTGGACAGAGCCGATGAGGGTCGCTCTGGCTGGAGATGCCCGCGGACAAACGACCTTCCTGATTCTCACCCCGGCCACCTTGGGTGGTCCAGCGGGCACCTCCCGCCTACTCTGCCGCACAGGCGATCAGCGGACCGGACACCTGCCCGCACCCTCTCCCCCGCAACCTCCTCGCCCTCCTCACTTACCACCGGGTCCCTGACCGACGCAGGGCCGGACGCCGGGGCCCTCAGGAAGCCACGGTTGCACCGGGAGCGAGCAGCCCTCTGCAGAGGGACCGCAGCCCCGTGGCGCCCCCTCCCCAGAGCGCGGGGACCGACAGGCGGCGGCACCAATGCGCGCGGAGGGGGCGGGCGCGGGGCGGGGCCGGGCTGGGGGCGGCGGGCGGTGTGGGTAGGAGATCCAGAGGTCTCTCCATCTAGCAGTTCGCCCGGCCTCTGAGACGCCGACCTTCGCGCTCCCAGCCTGGCGGCAATCTCCGCCGCGCGACCTCATCGGGAGCCAAGGAGAGCTAGCCGGCAGATGGGGAAGGGACCAGGGTCGAAAGCCTCCTCTATTTTTTTCTCAGACTCAGAGTAGTTAAATCCAATTTTAAATGACAGGCATCCCATTATAAATCCCCCCACTGAATATTTAAGTCACAGCATTCAGCATATTTTAAAAGTAGGATTCAAAACTTTGCAGTGAACCTTGTTTGGAGAGAAAATGACATTATATGAATTGAGAGAGAAAGCGGTGGGGGGGGGGGGGAACACCTCATTACACTGAAACCCACTCCTGGGAAAGTTTTGGATATATCAAGGTTCACAGCCAAAGGGTTTCAGAACCCCAAGACATAGTAGGCTCTTCTCTCCCTAAGTGTCTAGAAGGCGGGTGGAAATGATACAACCTGTGTGCCATCGAGTTCAGAACACAGGAACACCCATCCTTTATACCTTGTATAGATTTCCAAGGTTAAGCGGCTTACTAGTACCCATGTTTCCCTTCAGGATGTTCCTAGGTGCCTGCTTAACCTTGTCCCTCTCAGTTGGGTGGGGACGGGTGGAAAACTGGAGACGTGTTCCTCACAACTCCAGTCCTGATCAGAGCAAGGGTACTGGCATTATCTATTCTGCCTGACTGGAGGGTAGATTCAGTTTAGCTATTGTGTATCTTCACACATTTTGAGTATTTACAGATTCTTAAGCTTTACTGAAAAGCACCGTAAGCATTTACTTGTCCACGTAATCCATTGTGTGCAATACATTAACACCAATGAAAGGTGTTGCAGTGAGTGACTTGCTTTGGGTTTAATATGACCTACAAGGGCACTCCTGGGAGCTCCAGAGGTGAGGTCCTCCAGGATGCTTGGCTCCTCTCTCCTCCTCTGGCCCCTCCCGTGCACACCACCCAGATGAAGAACTTATTAAGATGGAGGGAAGAACTTCTGAAAAGTAGTTGTACTTATCTCTTTTCTTTTATAGGATCATGATACTTTATAGGTAAACCTCACCCATTTGGGGATGTTTTTCCAGGAATATATTTTACCTTTGTTAAGATTCTATAGCTTTATCTAAGACTTATTAAGCAAAGAACTATTAGCACACAAAAGTAAAGCTGAATCTAATCTGTCAAGATCTTAGAGACAAAATCTGTAAAACAGGAAAATCCATAAGCATCCAGTTTATAGTAGTTATAATTAAGAATCCAATTTATCTTTGTTTATTCAGTAAATCTTTGTGAAGATGTCTCAGATGGGTTACTGACCCTGCTGCCAGTTTTAAACTTTAAACAAATCAAAAGAAATCCATGCCATTCATAACCAACTGAGATGCTATTATTGAGATACAAATTTTCTCAAATCTAGCAGATCTGGGAGTTTGCAGCAATTTCAAGCAAAAATAAGATGAGACTATCTAGATGAAGACAGGGTAGAATAGCTGTCTTATTAGGAAGTAAATGGAAACAGAATAAGCAACAGATAAACACAATAAAGTCCATCTTAATGACATAGATCTCATTCCATCTGCTTTTCTTGAAAAAAAAAAAAAAAGACTACTGAAAGGTGGTTTGGGGTAAGAGGTGAATTGATTTTGTATTTGGAGGGCAGATTTCTTTAAGATATATTACATATAACTCATCTCCAACCTCCAAGACACACATAGTATAGAATCATAAATAAAATACTGTAGTGTGGTTTTTCTTTAGGATGTAACTAGAACCCAACGCTTAATCAGAGTTTCAAAAAAATATATCCAGTACCTCATACATGAAAGACATCTGCCATCCTTGAACTCATTTAAGTGACAGTTAGTAAGCTATTACCCATATCATTGTCTGCTATTCCATTAGTAGCTTTTTATTATATAATGAGAAACAGGCTCTAAATATATCTTCAGTCTGATGAGAAATTACCCTACCTACAGCTTATCCTGTTAATATCACCAGATACAGTGTGCCAATAAAATCGCTTATTTATCTGATCTCTACAGATGATACCATTTCTCCCATTCTAGTCCCTATCCACCCACAGCCTGGGCCTGCAGTTACCAAAAATGGTTTTTAATTCCTTGCTAATAATTCTTACATGTTATGAGACCTCCTGGGAATAAGCCCTCCACTTCCCTTCCCTAGTACAGCATTAAATGAACGTGGCTCCAGCTCTCTGCTGATTTGATCTGTTTCCGGGCACCACCAGGGTTGCCCCAGCCAACATAAACTTGACACTAATTCTGCTGCAATCTGCTTTACTTGACAGCACATAAACATTTTCTTCCTTGAATTGAGAGCGTATATACATCTTCATTGCACAGCAAGCCTCTGAGGTGCAGATCCGAGGAGATGCAGTCTGTTTATCAGTAACATTACGAATATAGGGAGGGAAGCCATTAACCGCTTAGGGTCAGAGCAGGGACAGGGAGGCCGGTGATCTAGGACGCCTAGGCCCAAAGGCAAGACACTAGGCCTTCTCTGGTCACACACACTACTCCAAAGCCACTAATGCTTGGCAGTATTGTTCTTTATCTTTTGGTCAGAGCAGGGACAGGGAGGCCGGTGATCTAGAAGGACGCCTAGGCCCAAAGGAAAGACACTAGGCCTTCTCTGGCCACACACACTACTCCAAAGCCACTAATGCTTCGCACTATTGTTCTTTATCTTTAGTTCTTTATTCCAAGCATACCAGGCAAAAACTATTTATTTATTGTACTGAAAGTGAGCTGCTCAATCATGTGTGTCCGACTCTTTGTGACCCCATGGACTATACAGTCAATGGAATTCTCCAGGCCAGAATACTGGGGTGGGTAGCCATTCCCTTCTCCAGGGGATCTTCCCAACCCAGGGACAGAACCCAGTTCTCCCACATTGCAGGAGGATTCTTTACCAGCTGAGCCACCAGGGAAGCCCATTTATGTATTACGGCTTTGTTTATAATCTTTTGTCTTCCCACCAGTTGTATTCAGTATTTCTAGAAATATTAAAGATTAAGCCCACATGGCAGGGACTTCCCTGGAGGTCCAGTGGTTAGGACTCTGTGGCTTCCACTCCTGGGGGCATGAATTTGATCCCTGGTCTGGGAACTAAGACCGCACAGCTGTGTAGCACAGCCAAAACATATATACGACAAATAAAACCCACATGGCTTTTGATGATGTAAGAAAGCCTTAATTTTTTAAGATGGTCTTCAGGTTACCTAGACTAACAATACACTGCTTTACTCTCTTGTTTACAAACTGAATTCCCAGTAGGTCCCATTCCAGGTGAGGTTTTATAGGACATTAAAAACAACAACAACAAACACTGGAACTAGTGAACTCTGTGCAGATGGCCCCAGTGATGCTTTCGAACAGGAACTGACAACATCACTGAGTGTGTACGATGTGCCAGGAAGCGTACAAAGCATGATGGAGCTGGGGCTCTGTGCTCTGACCCCCTCTGCCATATGCCCACTGTTGTCATGTCTTTAGACTGTGAAACTGACAGTACTACAACACTGATATGAACAACTTAGGGGATTAAAAATAATAAAACCAAGGACACCAGGAAAAAACGCTGCTCTGCAATGCTATTGCAGCACTGGCACCAGTGTGGATGTGACATCTTCTGGAAGAGCCCAATGCAGGAAGAGAAAGGGGAAAGAGAAGGAAAAATGCAGAGGAAGAACAGAGATGGATGATAAACAAAAAGAGAAGGGAAAACATTTGAGGGGAAAAAAACATCCTGTAGGGAGGGCTAGAGAACTCAGGCACAGGGTAGAAGCTAAATAATCATTTGCTGAGCCAACAGAGCCAAACAGCCATCCTGCGCTTAATACTGTGTAACCATCCTTCCTGAGGGCTTTAAAAATGAATGGTGCTGGGGACTTCCCTGGTGGTCCAGTGGCTAAGACTCTCAGCTCCCAATGCAGGGGACCCAGGTTTGATCCCTGGTCGGGGAACTAGATCCCACATGCTGCAACTAAGACCTGGCACAGCCAAATAAATAAATAAAATATTAAAAAAAAAAAAAGGGAATGGTGCTGAAGCTGTGACAGCAATGGGAATTCTAAGGAAGTTCAGGATAAAAACCTATATAAACAATATTTTCTCAGAGTAAAAAAAAAAAAAAGCAGTATTTTGGGCTTCCCTGGTGGTCCAGTGGTTAAGACTCCAAGCTTCCAAGGCAGAGGGCATGGGTTCAATCCCTGATTGGGGAAGTTTCACATGCACGCAGTGTGGCAAAGAAAAAAAAAAAAGTAGCTCCCAAAAAACTAGACTGACTTACTACTGACCAAGGCAATGAGGCCAAGAAAGCATTAAAAAAAACCCATATATATATATATGTACATGACAAAAAGGCATGTTCTCCAAATTCCGTTTCTCCCTCAGCCCTCTAAAGAGGTCTCCTTATTACGTGTCCTCCCAGAAACACACAAGCACACACTCATCATTCCCCTTTGAAACAGAACATATCATAAAGTACACACTAGGACTTGCTTCTTCTGTTGTGGCAGAGGTCTCCAAATCACAGGGGAAAGCAGAGCTAAGGCAACACAGACTATTAATGCTACAATTATATTTAAACACGGAGACTGAAAAATTATTTACTTTTATTCTATGGATTTCAGTAAGGTAATTAGACGTGTACATGATTCAGGTTAATTTATACACAATGATGCGAATTAAGACTGAAGAAAGGCTTCTGGGGACCTCTGGGGCAGGGACTGACTTCTCTTGATTTCCCCACACTTCCTGACAGGAGGCCTGAATAAACACCGGCCAAACTTTCAAAATAGCTTCTTGAAGATGGACAATCTAGAAA